TATATATATATATATATATGATTTTGTTATTGTTTCTGTATTTTTTTATAAAGTATTTCTTGATGTAATAAAGTAATTTGAGAATGTTTATTATAAATTTTACTTAAAAAAATAATTTTTTTTAATATTATTTTTTAATAATTTATCTCTTTGCATCTAATTGGTCTCATAAATTTAGAGAGATTATCTTTAATTTTAAGTCCAAGTTCAGATACTATGAAGGTATAAAATTATGTTAAGAAAGGAATAAATACAATAATTTGTTCAGAAATATCTTTTATCAAAATAAAATTTTTTTACAAAAAATTTCATCATTATCAAATACTGTCGTTAGAGAGTTTGTATTGAATTTTTAACTTTAGAATTATCGGCAATAAAAAGTATTTCATAATATTGTGTTGGAATTAATTCACATTTCGACTACTAGTTCCTTCGTTTTTCGAAATTCTACATTTCTTTATTAGAATCTAATGATGATAAGGTTGCCATCAATTTTGCTTTCAATTTTATTTTGAACAAACCTTTTAATTATAATTCGTCCAACAAAGATAATTCAAGTGCTTTTTCTTGGGAGTTGTAATGCCTGTAATTAACTTGTTCTTTTAATTTTTGAATTTTTCTTCTATATATAAAATATTGAGTATATATATATATATAAAAGATGCATATAATGTGATAATGAAATTTTTATATGAGAATGAGAATTATCACTTTCAATCGTCGGACAAAAATCGTGAACTCATCAATAATTTTAATATTTAAAATTTTTCTTACTCTTTCACGCTCTAACTATTGTCAACGCTATCATCGTTATCATCACTACACTATGATTATCATCATCACTATCATCATTACTATCACTATAAAAAAATTAGTTAATTAGTAGTAGAATTATTCTAATGATTTTAATAAACTGTTAAAAAATGTTATAATTCTAGGAGATATTTTAACCACCACAAAAAAATTAAATTTTTCGTAATTTAAAACTATCACAATGTTTAAATACCTGTTTATGCCACTACCAACTCTTAATGTCATCATGTGACTAACGTAATTAAAGCATTTTTTATTATTATAAAAGGAATAAAAATAAAAAAATTTAAGAACTTAAATTCAAAATAATCAAATTGTAGGACATGCTTAAACTTCTTCTTTATTCAAAATTCTCTATTGTTACCACTGTGAGCCTAAGTGTCCAATTTGCGGTCACTGCTTTCGCAAGAGCTTCTTTAAAGCTTTACTTCT